AAGCTAAGGCATTTGGTTTGGATTCAGTAAAGGGAAGACATTCACTGGGGGGAGTGAGAAGGTTTGGCAGCAATTTAGAGGATTTGTGTTGGGGTGATGGAGCAAAACATCCTGACTCCGGGCTTTCCTCCTCATCCCAGCAGCCTCTGTGGAAATGAGAGGAGGGAAAAGAGGACAGAGACAGGGACAGAAGAGGCTATTTAAGTGGCTGCATTCTGGCACCACTGTCACTGTCGCTTTAAATATTTTATAGACCTGGGAATGTTCCTATTCAGAGCAGCCCCTGCATTCTGCTCCAGCACTGGCAATGACTAGAGGGGGTGTACAAGCATACATGCACCCACCAGCACCTTCACTCTGAGTACATATGAGCCAGCTGGCTCTTCTAAATGTGTGGACCCACCACCTTCTCCCAACAGGATGGGCTGCACCCCAGAAAGCACCTAGAAGAGAAACTGTCAGATCATGATTCCCTCCCTACAGAACCAAAGACAGGCTCCTCATGAGCCCCCCCTCCCATCCCCACTACACACACACAAACACACATATGCTCGTGCCAATTCGAGCCTGTTCACAGATAAAAGACCCAAACATCCATACCCATGTCCTGATCTGCAACAAACAGATTCACTCCCAGAGATACACCAAATAAAGGTGCCACTCTACCCCAGGAACATGCCCCTGAGATGCAGAAGGACCCAAAGGCTAGAAAAGGTGAATGGATCACTCCCAGAAGCTGCAGAAAATTCCAAGCTCTAGCAGCTTTGAAAAGAACTTCTTGATTCAAGGGGGTGAGATAAGTCCAGGTCACGAGGCAGATGGGACAGGGTGATGAAGGAGCTCTCTGGGAGTCCACAAGGTGGCATCCCTGTTGGTCAGGACATATCCTTTTGTCAGAACACTTGGGTGTGGAGAAACAGAGCAGAGAACAGACTTGAGTTGCTTCTGATTGCCAGCCAGAGCATAGAAACAAAGCAATGGAAATAGGGGGTGGAGTGGAGAAATGGGTAAGTACCAGCACACGTGAGCACGGTGGTCAGTTAGACATGTGGAGCCCAGTCCATAACCCTCCTGGGTTTTTCTCCTTGAGTAGCCCAGAACTCACTCCTTCCCTGGATCAAGGAACCACTTCCCACCTACCAATTCATTATTTACTGCCAGCCTTTCCTTTCAATTCAGTGGGGATGAGTAGGGAAGGAGAAAACCATTGATTGTCCCCCTAATCAGCTGCCAGTCACAGCAGCCAACATTTGGAAGCATATTTCTTTAATTGCTTGCTTTTGTTTCTATGTTATTTCTAGTTTAAAAAAAATTAAAAACACAATAGCAAACTACCATTCATCATGAGCTTGTCAGTCTATAAGCATATTGCTCAGAACTGAGAGAGAAGAAATTCTCCTAATTGAAGAAAGGATTTTTTTTTCCCCTTCACAACACCTGGGTAAGGGTAGAGTCAATGAGAAAGGGTTCATTTGTTATTTTAAATAATTTTGCAAAGTGCATATGCATATATATTTGATTAGATCAAATTGATCTATACTTTGAACTCAGTGTTAGAAAAGCTAGTAAAGAGAAGTCTGGTGGGAGGGAAGAAGTTGGTGTAGGTTTTACCTGAGGGTGACATTTGGTGCAGAGCACTGAGTCCCTTCTGTTCTTTCTAACTTTCCTTCTGGAGCCTGAAGATTTCTGGCAAACACATGAAGCCCAAGCAGGGTCCTCCCCATTCCTTATTGATAGGCCCCTAACAACACCCCCATTACAAAGACAAACATGGAGAAAAATTCAAAAACACAATGGCTCTGAGGCAGGTGAAAGCCCAAGTTTGGACTCAGTTGCATTCACAGCACACAAATACATTTCCCACCCTCAACACACATACAATACATACTAACATATACATACACAGCAGTGACAGCTAAGTATCATGGAGAACACTGAATGTAGAGTCAGGAGATAAGGGATCAAGGTCGCTTTCTGCCACCTGTGTGACCCTGGGCAAGTCACTCTCTTTCTTTGTAAAATGATAGGGTTGAACTAATTGATCTCTTAAGGTCCCTTCTTAAATCCTGTGATCCCACAGGCACAAAAACCCAGTCTTCTCTCGAGTAACTCACAGTTACACATTTCTTCAATGCCTCCACAATACATAGTTACACGTGCACACACGTGCTCATACACACATCTCACTCCTCCCCAGCTTCACTTCATATTGTCTCCCTCCCTCCCACACTCCTTTTGTCTCATCCATATCTGGACATCCCACCTCACAAAGTGCTCTTAGGAGCACCCCCAGCTCTGCTCTCCCTATTTCCACCCCTGCACCTGCTGTTCCCAGAATCCCCTTATTCCCACTGAATCCTCCCCTGCAATATCAAACCTTGAATATACTGGGGGTGTTATCCTTTCTCTGTCTCATTTGGTCTTCAGGACTTTGTGAAAACCTAGGGCTTTGGAAATAGCAGAGAAGATGAGGCTCTACGAAGAACTTCCAGGCTAATTTAGACACTGCAAAGAAAGAATAAGTAGTGAAAGATCAATAGACACTAGGTACCCCTTCCTATGACACCCCAGACCAGGGGTTCTTAACTTTTTGTGTGTCCTAGACACACACAAAAAAGGTAGTGAAGTCTAAGGGACCTACCTCAGAATAATGTTTTTAAATGCATAAAATAAAATACACAGGATTACAAAGGAAACCAAAGGTCAGTGGGGGGTGAGGGGTGGGGGGAGAGAAGAGATGTAATTTTTTTCCCATTCAAGTGATAGACCCCCTAAGATAGGTCCATGGACTCTGAACCCCAGGTCTTAACCCCTACTGAAGAGTCTACCCTCCCAACCCATCACCACCAGTTGCAATTATCCAACCCAGAGATAGGACAATGGGGATAAGAGATGGGGACTTAACAGCTGGGTGACATTGGACATATCTGAATCACCTTTCCTCATCTACAAAATGACCAGATTGAACAAGATAATCTTGAGGTGCTTTCTGACTCTCACACTCTGTGATTCTGTGACTAAGTAGGTTATAAGTAGGATATCTCTGAACACACACACACACACACACACACACACACACACACACACACTCCTAAGTAGTGAGTCCTATCTGGGGTGGGAGTTGGAAAAGGAGCAGAGGTATGTCCAAGAGGACATACATCAAGGCAAGTCCCCTGGGAAGTCAGGAGCCAGTCCTCCTCCACTGCCTGTTTCAGTCTCTCTCCACCCACCCTAAATGTTCTGCCTACCTAAGATCTCCCCTGAATCCCTCCTGCTGTAATGGACAGCTGGCATGCAAGAACAGTTCACAGTTATGATGGTGGGAAAAAGAAGGAGGGTAGAGATGGGGGGAGGAGGGAGATGGGGATGGATCCAAAGGCTGGTCATTCCCAGTTACTGAAGTGTAGCCAGCTGTTTCCCCAGAATGGGTGAGCTCAGCAGGATCCACAGAAGGGAAGAGAACTAGGGTGTCTTCAGTGGAAACTTGGCTTTTGGAGGAGTCCTGTGAGCCTGTGCCTGGAGTTCATGAGGTGAAAATGAGGTGCCAATAATATCAAAATGAGAGTCAGTCCCTAAGCACTCAACAGTCCTGCTGGGATTCTCTGCCCTAACCCTAGCGCCCACAATGTCCCAAAGAAAACTGAGCTGCTAGAGGTATGTGTAAAGAGATATGGCCTGGGAAGGTTGGAGGGAGAGCAGAGGTTATTTTGGGAGGTGGGTGTGGAAGGGGATTCAGAGCAAGGGAGGTAGAGACAGCTCAGGAGGGGTGCAGAATAACCTCACATAAAAGAGAATTGCTCCACAAAGCCTCGAGAGAAAGTGACTGATTGGTGAGCTTCAGTTTGCATATATTCCACATTTCATTTCCATTTTAGCCTATTAAAAGTCCAATTAACAGAAATCTCTGCTGCCCCAGGCCTCTGTCCTTGGTGCCCAGCCTGAACCATCTTCAAGATAACAATAAGGAAAAGTCCTTATAACAGCTTTGTGAAGCCTCCTCCCTAGATTCCACTCACCTTCCTTCTCCTAGGAGCTAGATTCCCCTATATTCCTCACCCTCTTGTACTGCTAGATTACCACCCTTCCCCTCTCTAGCTAAAAAGTTCTTCAGAGAGTCTAAGGGCCATTCCTCATGCTACAGCACTCACTTTAAATTACCCTTTATTCTGTCCCTAGTGTTACTAAGGACCAACCTTATCATAAGAAGATCCAAGTTGGACTGATATACCCTCCCCCTCTCCCCAGTTCGGCCTTTCACCCACTTTCCAAGGCCCGTAATTCAATAAAGGAAAAGAATCCATCCATTTCACAACATCCCACCCACCCCAACACACAATTTAGCCTCCTCCAGGCTAAATTGCTGAATCCCATATGGCTGTATCTCCTAGTCTTCCTTCTCCAATGCCAGCACAAGGCATGAACACTTTATAGGTGTGACTACAGGATTACCAGACCCTTCTGAGGTCATCCCATCCATCTTTCTGCTTTAGAGCAGGATTTGGAAAATCTCAGGAGACTACGCACAAAGCCCCCTCCCCTTCATGAAAAGTCCTCACCAATGTCTAACCTCAGTCCTTCCTGCTACAAATCGAAGCCCCCTTTTGTCTTGCATCTTCATAGAATAATAACCCTAAAGAATATTTACTAAACCATCCATTGGTTCCTGCCCCTTCTCCCTGCCCCCCCCCGCCCCCAGCCCCAGCTGTGTCCCCTTAAAAACCTGCCCAACCTGGATAAATACTAGGGTTTGGGCTCCGCCCGACTGGACTCTGAGAATTCCTGGGTCCCTGCCCAAGCTCTTGCCCTCTACCTTCCGCCCACTACTTGGTAAAAGGCCACGCCCCCAGCCCGTGGCACCCTGGTGGGACCCCCGCTGGCGCGGACTCGACAGGGTTAAGGTTTTGGGGCGGGTGGGGGTTCTGGGGAGGAAGGGGTGCGGAGCCAATCGGCTGCGGATGAATCCCGGGGAGTGAGGATCCGAGAGCAGAGCCGGAGCAGCGAGCGGGCAAGCGGCTGGGGCAGCGACCAGGGGCAGCGACCAGGGGCAGGAGCAGTGAACGGGAGGCAGCTGGCTAGTCCCTCGTACGCTCCGGGAGCCGCCCCATCCCCCACCTCCACTGCAGCACCGGATTTCTTCGTCCAGAAGGACCCAGGCGTCCCCGGCACCCCAGCCATGGAGCAAGACAACAGTCCCCGAAAGATCCAGTTCACTGTCCCGCTGCTGGAGCCGCACCTGGACCCGGAGGCGGCGGAGCAGGTGGGGCGCATGGAGGCTTTGTTGGGCCGAGAGACCGGGGGCGGAGTAGCATCCCCGGGGTGGGGGTGGCAGTGGCTAGACTCGGCTGGACAGAGCTAAGAATAGGGAGACTTCTGCTCTTTCGGGAAGTCGGGGAGCAAGAAGATCCATCGTCCTGAGGGGGCGCCTCTCTTGCCCCTGTGACTGCTGTTGTACCCCTATGCTGGAGGGGAATGATGGAAAAGAATTCCTGTTTAACAATTGGATGACCCCCCCCCATCTGTCCTATACTCAGAGCCACAAACCCATTTGGACCGTTGTGAGACAGACGGACAGACGCTCCCACTCTCCCTCTCACTGCTCCCCCGTCCCCCGCCCTTTCAGAGACAGCACAGACTAGCTCCCTCCCCAGCCTCGTTGGGGGAAGTGGGGGATGGGAGGAAAGATGCTGGTTCTGTCCCTACAACCCCTTTCCCTTCACTTACCCTGCACCTCCTCCCCACCCCGCCCCAGTTTTTAAAGGAATTGGGGGGACTAAGGATCTCCCACAGTTTCACAGGAAGTGTTGGGGGCCAGGAGAAAATTAAGTTGATGAGAGTCCAAAATAACAGGGAGGGATTGTTGGAGGGGAAAATGTAGCCCCAGCTTTTTGTCCTGGAGGAAAAGAATGAAGGGAAGGAGAGTTGGGGGGCAAAGACTTGGAGTAGGCAGGGTGCTGAGCAGGGAACAGAATGTTTCTCCCTGCTCTGAGGAGAGATGTCTTCTGAAGCTCCCCTCTCCTAGGGTGGGGCAAGGAACACCTGGACCCTCCTCCCAAAAGGATCGGCCCTGATGGGCCCTGAGTGAGGAGAGGCAGGACCTTGGGAGGGGGCACAAGGGTCTGAGTTAAACAATATGCAGATGAGGAGGATGCTACATGCAAAGGGATGCCTGGTTCTCTGAGATCTCCCCCTCCTCTGGATCTGGCCAAAGGAGTAGGTGACATAGACAGGCCTTGGGCTGCCTGACCTGAGCTATTTTTAGCTCACAGCAGCCTGGCAGAGAGAAGGGAGGGGAGGTAGAGTGGACACAGAGGCCAAAGGGTGAGGGCTGGGGCCACTGTTGGCAAAGGGTTTCCAGGCAGTACTACAGCTCCACCCCCCCCACCCCCCACCCCACACAAACACAGGCCACCAAATCACCAAAGCTTATTTGCATAGTTTTGTAAGTCATTTACCCTCTCCCTAAGACTCTCAGAATTGCCCTCAGTCAACCCCAAATTCATCCAATCTAAATTCTGGTTTCTGATACATACATTATCTCCCTTCTCTCTGTTGGGTCTAGAGTTCTCTCTACCTGGAAAAACTCCCAGCTGTCCTTTCTGGGATCCTGAAGGGAGGATGTTCTTTCTACTCCAGCTGTTTGGCAAAACAGAGCCCAGATGTGAAGGGAGAAGTATTTCTCTCTCCCACTCTCCTTCCCCTCCCCCCCCCACTTCTCTTTAGGTCTCCAAAGCAGGAATTCCCCAGGTGCCCACTAGAATAGTGGGGAGGTCATATGGGAAGGACAGATGCCTCCTCTACGCCAGATCTTTTCTGCCCTCCTCCCCACCTCCTCTGAGAGGTGAACAGAACCCTGTCTTACTGGGAAGGCCAGATAGCAGAGTCTCAGATATTCTCTCTACCAGCCATAAAATAAGCCATGGCAGCTGCAAAGTGTGTGGTTAGGCCTCAGGAAAATCTCCCTGAGTGTGGGGGTGGGGCTGGGGTGGGGGGGAACTGAGGGGAGACCTCTATCCCTAATGAGGAAAGAACAACCTCCACCCATTTCCTTGTCTCCTACTTCCCATAAGATAGGAAGATAGAGAAGATGACCTCTGGCTCCAGACGAAGGGACTGATGATAAGAGGCCATGTGCGTTGAGGGTGGAGAGCCAGGCAGAACTAACATGATCTGCCTCCAGCTGGTCTCTTCATCCCACTGTCATGGGTTTATTCTTTGTTTGTGGTTGGGGGTGGCAGGTGTGTGTGGTTGGAGAAAGGAAGAGGAGAGGAAAGGACTTACAGAGCTGCAAACAGCAGCCAGGTCAAGGGCCCTTGCCAGTGGAGATGAAAATTAAGGGGAGCCAACCAAGATACATAAGCACTTTGTCCCCAGTCTTCAGTAAACCTGTGTCTACTTAGTGTAAAATTCTGCCTCCGGTCTAGCCTCATTCTCTCCTGCTGGGGTATCAAGAACCTAGGGCTTTGGGAAAATAGCTAGTTAAGCTGGGGGGAGAGTCTAGGAGGGCAATAATGATGATAATTATAACACATTTATTTAATATTTTATGGTTTACAAAGCTTTTTCCTCACTACAACCCTATAAAAATAAGTAGTGTGAATGTAATTATCCCTATTTTCTAGATTTTGAGGCCTAGAGAGATCAAATCATCAATTCAAAGTTTATTCCCTTCATTTTACAGGTAACAAAACTGAGTGCAAAAGACTTGTCCAAGGTCATACAACCCATTGCTTCTGACTCCAAATTCAGCATCCTTTCTTTCCATGACACCAAAGTGACCTGCTCATTGCCACACAGACACTCAGTGACAGGGCAAGAGATTTAAGCTTGTCTCCTGGCTACAAATCCAGGGGAAGGACTCAGGAATTTGGTGGGCTCTGCCCAATGAGGCAAGAGGTAGGAAGAAGACCACAAAGTCATCACATGGTCTGTCAACCATCCGCAGAGTAGTCTGGGCATAAATCCAGACTTGGAAGTTTCTGGGAGATTTGAGGAAGCTTTGGAAGTCTGTGGAATAGCTCAGGTCAATGGGAAGCCCTTGCTGAAGTGGCCTGCTATGTGCCAACCACTCAGCTGGGTACTAGGGAGACATAGATATGATGGTCTCTGTTTGCAAAGAACTTTGGAAATGAGAGGAATGTGATAAAAATAAATGAGAGATCCAGACAATACATGAGAACTCTAGAAATTGAGAATTTCATTTTAGCTGGGGAAACTGATAAGTGGAGAGACTGAGAGGCGGCAAGGAGGAAGATAGCCCCTAAGTTGGGCCTTAAAGGAAGAGAGGGACTGGAAAGAAATGGGAGCTGGGGGGTAGGAATGGGGCAGAATTGATTCGTGGCATGAGCTAAGGAGCAGGATAGATAGGGGTGGACCTCAGAGCTCCAGTCCAACCTTCCCACTTTACAAATGAGGAAACAGAGTTCAGTGACTTACCCTAAGTCATAAGTGCTGAGTTGCAGAACTGGGATTTAAAATCAGTGCCCTTACTCAAAATCTAGAACTCTTTGCAATAGGATATTCTAAAATTAGAGGACCTGGGTTCAAACCTTGGTTCTGTCACTTATTCCCTGAGTGACCTCGGAGAAGTCATTCAACCTAAGGCCTCTGTTTCTTTATCTGCAAAATTAGGGAGTTTGACAAAATTACCTCTAAGAGCAAACCCAACTCTAGCTCTGTGATCCGATGGAGGGGAGGAGGGAAAGAAAAATAAGATGGAGAAGGAAAGGAAAAAAACAAAGTGGGTATGGGAAGGGAGAGGGAAGGAAAAGAAAAGAAAGAAACAGAAAATGGGAAGAGAAGATTGCACAAAGGGAATAGAAGAAGTAGGGGAAAGCAAAAAGAAGGGAGAGAGGAGAAAGGAAAGAGGAAATAAGAAAGGGGATGTGGAGGAGAAGAAAGAGGCAGGGAAGAGAAAGAGGAGAAAAGGGAGAAGAATCATGGGCAATCTAAATTGCATTACAGCAAGGGGCTAGAAAGGGTGTTGGATTTTTAGAATAGGGAAGATCTTTCTTTTTCCCCAGCCCAGGCTTGGGATGGGGGGAGGCCTGTGGAAAGAAGGGATGTTCATCAGATCATAATATGCCCTTATTCCACAAAAGATTATCCATTAAGAGTTGAAAAGGACCTCACAGGTCACCTAATCCAATCTGTAATTTTACAGATATGGCCCAAAGAGACTTAATAACTTGCCAAAGATAGTTTTCCAACCCAGATCCTCTGCCTCCAAGGCCAGTATTCTTTCCACTATCCCTCAGTGGCCTCCAGCACTTAGTCATACACACAAGTGAAGGATATATAGATGGACACACCACTGACCACGTGACTGTATGGGTACACACACATATATCACGTTGATGTTGTCAGAAACCTTGAAATGTCATCCATCCATCAACAAGCATTTAACTGCTTACTACGTCCTGGGCACTGAAAAGTTATGAGGATACAAAACCAAGAGTGAAATAGTCCCTGCTCTCAGGGAGCTTACATTCTAAGTGGGGAAGATGACATATGTATGTATAAATAGATATGTAATATATGCAAGATGAAATCAAAGTAATTGGGGGGGAAGGGTGATCATAAGAGGCTTCATGTAGAATGTGGCGCCTAAGCTAAGTCTTGAAGGAAACCCAAGGTTCCAAGAAGCAAGGGGAGGAGAGAATATAGTGAGTGTGGAATGGTGAATTGGACAGTATGGCTGGCAGAATCATAGAAAAGGAAGAGAATAATATCTAAGAAGACGGGAAAATCAGGATGGGTCCAGGTTGTGAAGAGTTTTAAACGTTGAATATTCAAAGCGTCTGGGATGGGGGAGGGAGGTGGGCACGAGGAAAGAGATAATGAGCTCTGTTCTGGATGTGTTGAGTTTGAGATGCCCATGAGACATCCACTTTGAGACATCCAAAAGGCAGTTTGTGATGCAGGATTGGAGCTCAGGAGAGAGATTAGGCTAGAACTGGGAGTCATCAGTATAGAGATGGTAATTGTACCCATGGGAGCTGATGAGATCACCAAGAGAGAGGGAGCGGGAAGAAAATAGAAGACAGCCCGGACAAAGCCTTGGGGTACACTTACAGTTAAGGGATATGACATGGATGTTGAATCAGCAAAGGAGACTGAAAAGGATTGAATAGAAAGTTAGGAGAATCAGGAGAAAGCAGTAAACCGAGAAAGAAGAGAATATCCGGGAGGAGAGAATGATTAAAAGTGTCGCATGCTACAACAGGGGTCTAGGAGAATGAGGACTGAGAAGAGATCATTAGATTTGACAATTGAGCTATCATTGTGACATGGAGCAGCCTCGATTGAGTGATAAGATCCCAAGCCAGATTGCATGAGGTTTGGAGCATGAGGGGAGAGGACTGTGGAGGCACCTGGTATAGATGGCTTTTCAAAGGGATTAAACTGAGAAAGAGAGGGTCATAGGATCATCGAACTAGAATCTAGGGACCTCAGAGGTCATCTAATCTAACTCCCTTGTTTTACAAATGAGAAACTGAGACCTAGATAGATTAAGCAATACTCTGAAGGTCATACAGGAAGTGACTAGGTAGTTTTGAATCTAAATTCTCTGATTTGAAAGCCACAGTTCTTTCCATCGTCCCACACTCTCTTTAGGAGGACAGTTAGGAAAGACAGTGGGACCTAAGAGGATTGTCTAAGGGTAGATGAGAGTGGAGTGTGTTTGAAGGCAGCAAGGAAAGAAGACTTAGATAAAGAGAGAGGGAAAATTATTGAGAGAGGAGGAATGATAATAGGGTTAATCTGCTGGAGAAGGCATAGAGAATGTGGATCAAAGGCCCATCTAGAGGGGTTGGCCTTGGTGAAGAGAAGAGCCACATCTTCATCAGAGACTGGAGTAAAGGAAGAAATGAGGAAGATGAACGATGGAAAGATTAAGGGTGTGTGGCCATCTTTGTGTGTAGCTGAGGTGGGATGGAGGAATAGGTCAGAAAAAATGAGCAGATTGAGTAACTAGGAGCTCTCCTTGTATGTTGAAGTCTCCTTAGTATAAGGACATGAGTTGGTGAGTAGCTGTGTGACCCTGGGCAAGACACATACACCTGTTTGCCTTGGTTTCCTCATCTGTAAAATGAGCTGGAACAGGAAATGCAAACCACTCCAGTATCTCTGCCAAGAACACCCCAAATGGGGTCACAAAGAGTCAGACACGACAGAAAAAAGACTGAACAACAACAACAACATGAGTTGGTACAGAAAAGAAGACTATGAGCCAGGCTCAGTGGAAGAGATGTGCCCCCAGAGAGAGGAAATGTCTTATTCCCACCCCACCTCTCATTCCCCATTCCTCTCCTGAATTGTCCCGTTATTCTTCCTCTTTTGCAGTTGAGAAGTCCTGCTTAAAGTCTAATTTTAGTACCTCCTGCTGCAGCAGAAGGGCATTTTGTGGATAGGAAGAAGAGGATTCCATATGTGGTGATAAGGATCCAAAATTATTAAGAGATTTGAAAATGGAAATCCATTTGTCATTTTATCCCAGCACCTTGCACAGTAGTCCAAGGTAGTCGTTTCATCAATATTGTTGCTTGATTGGTTTCATGACACAATCTTTGCCCTCACATCAACACTACCTCACCTCTCCAGTTTCTCTCAGAACTGGACGATCCCTTCCCAGCTCTGTCTAGCCCCTTTCTCTCACTGCTCTACACCAATATCATGCCCAGAAAGTGAGAAATCTACACCTCCAAGGATCGCTTTCAGAGTAGTCAGACCCATTGGCAGCTTGGCAAAGGAGCGGTAGTTTGGGTGACGTCAGAGAAGGGGCTATTACAGGTGACTTTAGATGAATGAAAGGGTCAAGGGAAGGCCATGAGATTTCCCAGCCACACTCAATGCCCTAACCAAGCTCCTGATATGATGGAAAGAGCACTAGATTTGGAGTTTGGAAAGACCTGGGTTGGATTCCTCAAATCTGACACTATAGGTATGATCATGGGAAAGGCACATAACTTCCCTGGGCTTCAGTTTCCCCATCTATAAAATGGGTATAATAATACCCATACTGCCTACTCTAAAGGATTGTTTGTGAGAATGAAGTGAGGATATATGTGAAGTCTAAGCACTTTACAAACCTGAAACATTGTAGAAATATAAGCAGTTAGTATTATTATCATGATTTTGGATTCTGGGTCCTTTCTGCAAGCCTCATCAGGAGCTGCTTAAGGGTCATTTGAGCAGAAGGTCAGGGACCTTCCTAGGGAGGGAAGAAGGGACATAGGAAGAAAGTAAGAGAATAAGAGACGCTAGTAAAAGAGTGGCCAGGAGGAGATGAAAATAGACTGAAAAGAGACTTGGAGATGCTGGGGTTGGGAGTGGTAGCAAGGGATGGGGAGACAGAGATTGTGTGTGATATTGGTAGGGAGGAAGGTCAGTGGCTAGGGGACACTGATGGAAGAGGGGTCTAAAGAGATAATTGGGAGGAAAGAGAAAGAGTCAGAGAGGGTTTGGGGGTACTAGGGAAGAGGGACTAAAAGATATAAAGGATGAGGAGCAGTGACTAGGAGAACACTGGGAAAGGAGCAGGATCTGGGAGATTATTCAGGAAAGAGCTTCTGGTGGGTGTGGGACTGGAAAAACTGAGGGGAAAGGGACAGGGACTGGATGAGACAGGAGGGGATGGGGACAGAGCCTGGAAAGGACCTTAATGCACCTGGGCTGGGAGAATGAGCTGGAAAGTGGTCAGGGCCAATTTGTCCTATTCCAACATGTTTGGGGTCCTGTTGGAGCTCCTCTCATATCACCCCTGAGATATGAGCATTATGGAGGTGGGGAGACTCTCTAGAGATGCTGGCATACTGAGGGTCCATATTTCTACTTGGTGGGAAAAACATCCTGATCTCCCAGGTTATTTCTGGCCATCGATCCAGTAGTTTGGAGCTGATACAGCTGCTGAGAAGGGAGGGCCCAAAAGCCAAGAAGGAAGAACTGAGGCAGTGGGAAGGGCTTTCAGGTTATTCAGGAGAAGCTAAACCTGGGGTTGGGATTGGTACAGTCATTAGCAAAAAACAGTATCAGAGCATTAGAGAGACAAACCTAGAGGGGACCATAAAGGAGGCAATTTGGTGAGTACTGTGATGTATGAAGATGGCGCGTGGGAGCACAGTTAATAATAATGATAGATGGTGTAGAGTGCCTTACCGTTCGTAAGAGCATTTGTCTCCTTTGAGCATCACAACAGACCTGTGAGGTGGGCAGTGTATGTATTCTTTTCCCCATTTTATAGACTAGGAAACTGAGACTCAGGGAGCTTGAAATGACTTATCATAGGATCATAGTCTTAGAGCTGGAAGGGATTTTTGAGATCATCCAGTCGAATCCCTTCAATTTACGGAGAAGGAAACTGAAGCCTAAAGAGATGAAATGACTTGTCCAAGGTCACTGAAAGAGTAAATGGCAGAGCTGGGATTCCAACCCTCTCTTTCCATTTTGCCTCACTGAGTCTCTTTGTTCTGTGTTGTATGGGGGTGGACATATGTGTGTCTTCAGATGTGGTTCTATTGGGTGTACATTAATTGGAACTGGGCTGAATCCATGTGCATTGCACTATTGGTCACTAGGACTCTGATCTGTCTGTCTGACAAGACTTCACCTCCCCCTCTTTTGTACCCTCCCAGATCCGGAGGCGTCGCCCCACCCCTGCCACCCTTGTGCTCACCAGTGACCAGTCATCTCCAGGTAACTCAGAAGCCCCCTTGGGCAGTAAAGGGGTATACCAGGAAGCCTGGGTCCCACTGTGGAATAGGATATCTAAGTCCCAGGGGGAAAGTGAGGGCTGGAGGTAGGAAATGGGGTTCTTGGGGCTCCTGAGTAAAGTGAGTTTGAGCATGAAGTGCCAGGGTCTCAAGAATAGAGTAAAAGCTGGGTGCAGGGGGAATAGGATTCACAGAGCTGGGGAAAGCAATGGGCAGGGGTCTGAATGCTTGTATTCCATGGGGTGGGGGGAGATACCTAGTTCCTAGGAGAGAAATAAGATTGGAGAAGGCAGCCTAGGTGCTGGTGGGTGCATTGAGAGCAAGCTGGGCTAGCAGGAAAACTTCCTTTGCTTTCTCAGTGATGAGAGCAAGGGCAGCAAGGGCTGGGAGAGGCAGGGGCACCACCTGCCTCCTCAGCCCCATCAGGAATTGGGCTGGTCAAGTGATTGCCGGTTGCCACAGCAACAGCCTACTAGGTTTCTCCAGCAGCAAAGATGCTGCCCCTCCTCCCCTTCCCCCCTCCCCCAGGAGGGAGGCAATGACATCTGTGAAGGAGGGGGCCCTTCCCCTCCCTACTCCCTCTCACAGCCCCCAAAGACTTGAGAGTAGAGTATAAAATAATGGCAAGAGGAAGGCCAGGACTCCAAATCACTAAGGTCTCCTCCAAGGGCCTCCTTTAGGGGAAAGAACAATGTGGGAGGAGAGTGAAAGGGGAAGTGTAAGACTGGAGCTTGAGGAAGCCAGGGCTCCAGCCAGGATGAGCTTGCTGTTGTCTGACCCCCCCCTCCCCTCCCCGCCCAAGCTGGCCTATGAACAGAGTCCGATCCTAGGCACCAGGTGGAGAGGAGAGAGCAACAAGGACACGTCACTGGCCAGCATCCACACAGCACCCAGGCTGACGGGCAAGAGTCCCAAACACAGGGACCAAGACAGAAGAAATGGGAATCCCAGACTTCAGGCCTGAAGCTTAAGAGTAGTACAGTCTGGAGAAGGTAGTCAGGGAGGGCTTCTGGGAGGAGGAGAGTAAGGAGCAGCATTTGGAAGGAGACAAATTCAAATGCTATCAGCAGCAAACCCCTGATAACACGAAGGTTGCTACTAGTGGCAAGCCCCTTGGGCGCCTTTTCTCACCTTCCCTTAGAGGCATTAAGACATGGTGGAAAGGGTGGGGTCCTGGTGGCAGGCAGGAGCCCTGAGTTCTAGTCCTGGCTCCTTTACTAAGCTACTTCGTGACCTTGAACGAGTCACTTCCTTTCTCTGGGCCTCAGTTTCCTTGTTTATAAAATGAGGGAGCTGAACTAAATGATTTCCAGCCTCCATTCGAGTTCTCAACTTCTATTTCTCTGATTCTTTCCTCCTCCATCACTCCTTTCCCAGAGATCGATGAAGATCGGCTTCCCAATCCTCTGTTCAAGGTGAGTGGATCCTCTAGTGCCACCAAACACCTTCTTCTCTCTGTGCCCTAAGGGCAATGGAATGGGCAGGGGCCTAGAGCTGCCCCCAGGGAACCAAAACAAGGTGGGGAGGAGGGGGATAGGCCTCAGGGCCCGAGGTCCCAGCTTCATTCTGTGTCCCTTACAGTCCACATTGTCCATGTCTCCAAGGCAGCGGAAGAAGGTGACTCGGACCACGCCCACGATGAAAGGTTTGGGGGACCCTCCACACCCTCCTACTCTCGCCTCCTTCCATTTCCTCCTCTGCTCCTTCCCTTGATGTCTTTAAATCTGTCAGGCCCAAGGCAGGTAGAGCTCTGTCTGAAAGTGCGGTTTCAGGGTCAGGAATGGGTGAGAAGACCTCCTGAGATGGGAGAGAGAATCTGCAGTATCACTGGCCCCATTCTCTGCCTCTCCCTGGCAACACATCTTTGGGCAAGTCCTCTCGCTTCTTGGGGCCTCAATTTCCCCATCTATAAAATGATGCTATTGAACAACAACCTCTCTAAGACTGAATCCTATAGGACTTTGTAATCCATCCGAGTCAGAAGAGAATCTCTCCTGTTCTTAAGACCTCTTACCTCAACTTACCGTTGTTTCCCTGTAGGAAAGTCTTTTCAAGTATCTAATTCAGTCTCTCCTACTGTAGTTGACATTCCATGACTTTTTTTTTCAGTCCTCTGGAAAGGAAAAAATTTCAATGGGTCCAGTATCCTAAAGTGTGAGGACCTGACAGGATGTCAGGATCCCTAAGTTGTTGAATTTCGGGGGGGGAGGGCAGGGAGAGTGGATATAGGGGGACCTTCTCGAGGAGCATGTCCAACATACCCCTCCTTCCATGTCACTGCCCCCCCCATCCCCATTCTCCGAAGAGCTCCAGATGATGGTGGAACATCACCTGGGACAGCAGCAGAAGCAGCAAGGGGAAGAAACCGAGGCAGCAGCAGCTGAAAGTGAAGGAACACAGGAGACCTGCCTGCCTGAGACTGAGGACACAGAAATGGATTCAAGGCTGAGCCTCACTGGAACTGCCCAGAGTATGTGAGGGATGGGGAGGGATTAACACCCGGGGACATCCTGGTCCCATAGTCCTGTGGGAGTGGGGAGAACAAAAGAGATTTCCCTTTAAAAGAGGGGATGAGGGGAGATTTAGTCCCAAGGCTGAAACATCTCAGCAATGCAGGGAGATTTACATACATTTTCATCTCATTTACATATCATTCCTAGCGGCGGTTCTCCAACTCCCCAGGTTTGTCCACTTCCTCCATTGCCCTCTCCCCTGGAAAAACTCCAGGTTAGCTCTTTGTGAGTGTGCCCGACTTGATCCTGGGCTTCTCTCCAAAGCTGAGGGTAGGAGAGATGGGGAAGCAGTGGCCCGATCTCCCTTAGGCCCCTCCCCAAGGCAGACCCTTCTCCCTTTCCCAGGGCTTCCAGAATCCATCCCCAAGATCCAGGAGACTGGCAGTGAGGAATCTAGCTCAGAGGCACCAACAGTTCATATACAACCTTCAGGCTCCAGGGGGGCAGACTAGGTAATAAGGCCTGGAGCTGGGAGGCTCCCCCAACAGAAGGGTCGGTGGGGGCTGGGGAGGGCAAGGAGGGAATGACGGGTTTCAGCCTCTGAATGGGGTGTTCTAGGTGCCCACACCACCTCTGAGGGTCAAACCAAAGTAGGTGGCCTGGAGCTACGGCAGGAGGGCTTGAGGTTAGACATCAAGAAGGAATTCCTGCCTCTGGAATAGGTAAAGGAGAGAGATTGTGGAAGCATTGGTGGGATAGTGGAAGGAGCACTAGTGTGGGGGTGGGAAGAGCTGGTTCAAATCCACGACCACAAACACTGTGATCTAGGTTCTGCGCTCACTAGCTGAGTGACCTTGGGCCCTTCATTTCATCTCGCTGGCCCTCAGTTTCCTCATCTTATAAAATGAGGGGGGGTAAGACTAGGAAATACCAAAGTTCCTTTCCATCTTGGGGGGGGAGGGGTTGAACCCAAAGAGAAACTCATGGCCTGGGCTGGGTTAGCAGTGGTCCTGACGGGGGAAGGGACATGGAGAAGATGATCCACCCTCCATGTCCAATGCTCTGCTCTTCCCCAACGGGAGGTACATGGGAGAACTAAGTGGAAACAGGCTGAAGTTTAGCAGGAAGGAGGGAAGTTAGATATTGGTCCAAAAGCAGGAAACAACCCAGGCCTGGACAAGATAAGCCCCAAAGAGTAATGTGCTGAGAAAGTCGTTCCTTGGCCCCTGACTCGCTGTCTCCCTCTCCCCACCCCACACAGGTCAGAGGGCCACGAAGCAGACCAGGAATCAAGGCTGGGGCTGGGGCCCCGCAAATGCTGGTTCTTTTCTTCATTTCTTCGCTTCTGGGGGAAAACTCTTGTTTCTAAAAAGTGATAAATTTGGTGTTGGGCCTTTGGTGCCTTTCTTCTTTCCCAGATAGGAGGGCCTCCAGTGTCCTTGTCTCCCTTCCCCCACCTCTTAGCAAGCCTCTTGGGACTGCAGAGACAGCCCTGGCACTCAAGCCAGAAGACAGACATCAGCTTTTATTTCACAACCAGAGGGATAAGGATCACATACACAAGAGCTATCCATTTGCTAGGGGGAACTGCTGCCGGAACTTGTCTTCCTGGCCATTTTGGATAACAGGCTGGGCCCTATGCCTCAAGGCAGGGGGAGGCCAGAATGACCTTGGGAATCCCCCAGCAACGTCTTCGCAATGTCAAGGAAGGAGAAAGCACTGCCTTGCTATAACCAAGCTGGGGGCTCCCTCTGGTGGTCAAAAGTCAGCATGACAGCCCTCCACGCAGGCCACCTCTTCTGTCTAAATCCAGAAGGTGTGCTGAGTATCCCAGGCAGGGAGCAGGAAGGAGGCCAAGTTTCCAGATCAATTAGCCACTGTTACCCACTTTGTGGGTTTTTCAGCATCTCTTCTCCTTGCCAGCTGTCCTGGTGATCATGATTCAGATAGAAGATGAACTAGGTAACCACTAAGACCCTTTCTGACTCCAAGATTCTATAATTCTATGGGGGCCAGGTCAGAACTCTGAAGGTGGGTGTGTGTGGCTCAGCCCATGCTCCAAAGTCAGCCATGATATGGAGACAGGGGCCATTATTCCCCACCAATCTTCTCCAGCCCCATTGATAACAGAGATGACCAGTGTGGAAGCCAAGTTCATTAACAAAGGAAGGAGATGATCCCAGGGACAGGCTCTCCAGGCTCTGAACTTAAAAACTCACCCCCACTAACAGCCCCTCCCACTCTCCAAGACATGAAAGGGACAGGACCAAAGAGATGAAGGCAGTGTCCTCAAAGTCACCCAGCACAAAAGGGAGACCAAGCTAGGCCTATGCTCTCTTCCCTAGATGCCTCCAGTTGGGTGGGAAGAGAGATCAAATGATTTAGCCTGTGTTTTCCAGCTTACAAAGAGCCTTCTTCACAACAGTCCTGTGAAGTAGGCCATGCAAGCACCAGAAATGACAAGCTCGGTGGAGTAATGTCCATAATCCCTCAGGGGCAGTGAGGGGGCCAACTTGGGCACAATACTTCTAACTCCATTGTTCTTTCCATTACAACATGCCATAGAGACAGCCTGTGCCATCAGACTCCTGGCCAGGAGGGTGATAGGTAACTATCGGACTTGAAGTCGGTAGGGGGTGGAGGTAATAAGTACGTCCAGCTACTTCCTTCGTCTGACCCAGACTTGCCAAAGACAGGTCCACGGCCTAAACAGGGACTCCTCAGGACCCTTCTCCTTCCTCCCCTATAATCTAGGCCATCTCTTCAGGGGTCAGGACAAAGACCCAACCCACCCCACCTCAGCCCTCACCCCAATCCCTGCTCTTCTGTATCCTCACCTACCCCATCTCCCACACCTGCACCCAGCCCTCAAATTGAAAGATGAAGACAACATCAGACCCTGTCTCCTTCCTTTATTGGTCTCTGGATGTAGCAGTGGTCTGCAAGGAGGGGGTGGGGAAAGTCACATGCGCCTCTGTCCCCAGTCCCCAGGTAGGAGAGGGTGCTGGGGCAGGAGGGGAGGCCAGCATGTTCAAGAAACCATGGTGGATACAAGACACATGAAACACAGCCCACTGTACAGATGTGCTGAGCAGTATTTACACGGAGGGCAGGGTCACCTCAAATTTGGTTTTTCCCTTGGGGGTGAGAGGAGGGGAGAAGTAGGGGGACACTTTCCCCAAACCCCACCCAGCCCCCTGCCTATGGCTACCCTGGGTTACTATCCCGAGAGGGGTAACCATTTGGAAGAGGTAAGTGGGCCCAGGGACTGGTTATAGCATAGATTTGTCATCAATAGTGGAGTTTTGGATTGTACGTCCCTCTTTCCATTACACAAATGCCAACTCAGCCAAGCTCTGAGGCACCCTCATCCGGGGTGGCCACACTTGGCAGGAGCCGTGGGTATGGGGAACATGAGAGCTTGTGCTGGTTAAAGGTGTCCTCACGAGGTGCTTCTGTCAGGATCTCAAAGCACTTTACAGACATTGGTCGGATGGAAGCTGCCCCCCACCCCAACCAGGGTGTCTGATGTTGGGGAGAGGGGCACATTGGACTTGATGGAGAGGAAGTAATACGGGAATTGGGTCCCCAGCTTTTCTCATGCTGCTAAAGCCCCTGGCGGTGTACCCAGATACACAGGAAGCTCTCTCTCCCCTGGCTCCGGGATCACATTCAAAATGGGCAGAAGGAGAAGAGATACCTAGGGGTGTGAGGTCAGGAGTAAAAGGCGTGGGGGTCGGGGAGAAGAGAAAGACCAGGAACAGAACAACTTGGGGCAAAGGTAGAAAGCCATCCTCTTCAGGAGCCTGGTGAATGAGGGAAAGTAGGAACGTCATCTCCCTACCAGCTTTAAGTGACCCACCCACATGTCCTGCTCTGGCCCCTCCCGGGGTAGGGGGGAAGGAAACTGGGGCCCAGACCTGCCAGCGAAGATCTGGGATGGGGGTCCCAAGGGAACCCCCAAAATGTATTGCTCAGAAACTTGGAGGCAAGAAGAGTATTGCACTGGAGGGGGCTGGCATCACTGATTTTCCCACCCCAACGGTTGGGGTGGGAGACAGTCCAGGAAGCTTCTCCCCCACAACAAGACACCTGGTTATTTGGGGGGAAGGGGAGAAGTCCAGAGGAAGCAGGGTTGGACAAAGCTCCCTGGGTTCTACTGCCTGAGAGGAAAGTGTATCCCATCATGGGGGATGGCAAGGGATTTCCTAGTAGGGAGTGGCAGGCTCAAGCCCAGGCCCAAATGTCCCCTTCCCTCAACCCCACAATCTCTGACATTTGGCCTTTGGAGTCATCCATCTGCTCTCTTCACCCTCGGGTTCCCCTGCCTCAGATCGATCTGTCATTCGAGGGAGCCAGTCCCAGTGAGTGGTGCTGATGGCGTCAACGACTTTGGGCTACTGTAAAACCTGGGATGCAAACAGAGGTAGCTAAGGTTATCCCTTACTCCTCCGGACCCAGCCACCTCTCTTCTGATCAGTGTGAACAGGGATCCTGTCTGGCCTGATAACTGCTGCTATCATCCCGAGATCTCACCTCGTTGGGGGGTGAGGGGAAGGGGGAAATGAGAGACCAGACAAGGAGATTCTTCCTCCTTTGTTCTATTCTATGTTCCAACTCTTTCCTCAACTTCCTCCCCAGAAGGAAGTTTTTGCTAAAATCTAAGCCCCATCCTCCATGAAAATGGGAAATTCTTTGTGGTGATGGGGAAAAAATACCAGCCACAGAATCGGGACACCTGGTGATTACAGTCCTGGCTCTGCCAATAACTTGCTCTGTGACCCTGGGCAAGTCATGCAGCTAAGTGGCCCTCTGCTGGGCTTGGAATCAGCAGGACCTAGATTCAAACACTGCCTCAGTGTCAGTTTCTTCATCTGTACAATGGAGAGAAGACCTGCTGGTTGTGAGGATTAAATGAGATACCATGTAATGTGCTGTGCAAACCTTGAAGTGCTATCTAAAAACTAGCTGTCATTATTATCATTAGTACTCTGCTAAGCTACAGCGCTCTGGGCATATGCCAAATGAAAGACTTGAATCTCTAAGATCCCTTAACTCTAGCAATCTGTGATAATGAGAGGCAGACAGCCTTTCCCAAGGGATTCTGAGATTCCTCCGCCCTAGCGCTGCCACCAGCCCAGTCGCCCCTACCTCTCCTTGCCTTGTACTCACCTGAGCCTGGGCCCAGGCAGCTAATCCAGGTTCCCATTCTGATTGAGCTCCTCGGCAGGGGACGAAGGAGCTTCCTCTTCACATGGGGACAGCTCATCGATGGAAGTCTGATTGGTGATGCCTGATGAAGGGATGGATAAGAGACAGACCTTCTACCTTCCCAAGTCCCAGATCATGGCCACTTCATCTACCCCACCTCTATTTACATCTACATCTCACAGGAGAGAATCCTGCCAGCGTACTAAAAACCTGCCCAGTCCTCATCCCAGGGCAAGTCTCCCTGAGGTTCGGTTTTCCCATTTGAAAATAGTGGACAATAATACTTCAAATGCCTGTCTCACAAGGCTGATTGGAAGGACACACTTTGTAAATCTTAAACCGCTATTTACATTAGCTATTATTTGTAGTATTAGCATGATTACCTGACTCTCTCTGTTAGGTCCTTCCTGAAATCTAGCTCGATTATCTCCTATTCCATTTGCAGGGCATTCCTTCTTGTTCTGCCCTCCCTCCTTAGGTGGGGAGAGGGGAGGGGACTGGGATCCCTGGAAGGCAAGACCCTGCCCTGCCCCACCCCCTCAGTTGAAGGAAGGGTAGAATCAATATTTGCCCCACCTCCTTTTCTCTCCGGTGCCCTTCCCTCAACCAGGACCTAATACCTACCACTAGCAGCGCGTTCTTTCCATTTCTGCTTGTTCTCCTGAATGTATTTGGTCCAGGTGGTACGAAAGCTGACCAGGTCAGGGTTGAGGTCACCAGGTTCCCTAGAACCATCCAGAGAGGGCTGATACCACTGGGAGCCATGTATGGAAAATCTCATCCTAGACAGAAATCTCTTCCCCTTCTTCCCACTCCCAACCAGTCCCATGAATGATTCCCAGAGTGTTGTGCCCCATGCCAATCCAAAGAGAGACTACTTTCTGGCTCCCCCACACAAACATAGAACATGGCCATGAGGAAAGGGTGGGGAGGAGAGGGGACAAAAAATAATAGAAACAGGTGGAAATCAGCTATCAGAGTAATAATGAACTTGACCACTGTATCTTCCGTATCTACCTGCCTTCTCTGTGGGCTTCCCTAACACCCCAAAGCCAAAGGTCCTGGGTATCCCTTGAGAATTGGACATTGAAGGTTCCTCCCAGAAGCCCTCACCTGGGCTTTGTCTTTGCCTTAGAGCCCTCATCTACCAATGGCTGGACACTCTTCTCAGCCACATCAGTCAGAACAGAGAAAGTGGGTTCCACAATGAAGTCAATGAATCCTGCATGGGTAGGGGGAAGAAAGGGACAGAACAAAGGTTGGATCAGTGGGTGAATGGTGTGGCAATGGTCTTGATTCAATTCAAAGCCCAGTAAGACCCTGACCTTCAGGGACTATGTGGTCTCAAGGCCACAGGTTCCCCACCCCAGGACTAGGAACTTTCCATACAAGAGGACTTTGTGATCAATCAGCCCCATGGAGCCCTATTTTACCACGGCTCAGGCGAAGTCAGGTAACTTTTAGAAACTGGCCCTGGCTTCAGGAAGACCCAGCCCTGGCCTTCATTTTCCCCTACTACCACCTCCCATCCCCCAATCTCTCCTCCCTGCAAAGCCTGGTGGTCACTCACCAATTTGAGACTGAGCCACGAGGGTGGAAGTTCGGTCGCAGAGTGGGGAGAAGGGCAGGCCCAGCTCTGCCTCTTTGTCCCCCTAGGAGAAAGAGGGGAGGTAGGGAGAGATAGAACATTCCAGGCCAACCTGAGGCTTTTCCAGGTATGGGCTAGGGGATGCTGAGAGGCAAGGCCAAGGGCTCCTGGGCAGGGTTGGGAAGGGAAGAGGGAACTATGGAAAAGGAAAAGAGGGACATCAGAGTAATTTCTGTGCCTTTCATTTGAAAATCTAAGACATTCAAGGGCTATTCAAAGGAGCCCCAGTTATTATTGTCTTTGGATATGCAGAGTAAAAATGTTTATTCCCACTGGTGAGTATCCAGTCCTGACAGAGCATTTGGAAGGACAATGGATGTTCCTGTGAAGGTCCAGAGTGGTGAGAAGCAACCAGGGGTCAAAATTCAATTGAAAAGCCCAGACCTTGGGGCAGCTAGGAGGCAGTGGATGGAGCACCAGCCCTGGAGTCAGGAGGACCTGAGTTCAAATCCAGCCTCAGACCAGACACTTGACACTTACTGGCTGTGTGACCCTGGGCAAGTCACTTAATCTCAATTGCCTCACAAAAAAAAAAAAGAAAGAAAGAAAAGCTCAGACCCTCATGCCCCTCCCCATTATTTCCCTGCTTCTTGCCTCCCTCTCATTTCCTACTCAGTATAGGTACGAGAAAGGTCCTGCTGCCAGAGAGAGACAGAGACAGAGAAACAGAGTGCCATGTTGATCACATACCTGCCGGAAGAATTCTTCCATGAGGGCCTTGGTCCACCGGCTGTGGACTGACCACTGCTTGGTAGGGTGGCTAATGTCAGCAGCATGGAGCAAGAGAGACAGGGCCTTGGATTTGTCGATCCTGAGGTGGGAAAGATTGGCCATTCTTGAGAGGAAACCCCAGGGCACACTCACACACCGCCTCAGGGAGGACCTATCCACACCGGACACAAACTCAAATAGGAAACACTTAGACATTCAGGAGCTTCCTCAAACAAATACATAACAGATGGAGGACCATCCACATACAAAATTAGGTATGAGGTGTGCATATACATGCACATATGTATTTATGTATGTATATGTAAATGTGTATACACATAAGGTCTTATGTGCACATGAGTCTATATCTAGGTATATGTGTGCATTGTATACATGTATTGAATATATACATATATTGTGCATATATGCATATGTGTGTATGTAACATATACCCAGGACCTGTCCATACACATGCTCAGATCATTTTCTTATGCTCTAACACAAAAAGCATCTATAATTCCATTTGGTAGGAAATTACCAGTGTGGAAACTCCTTCTAACAATGCAGACCACCTTAAGAGATACTACTTAATAGATAAATCCCAGGGATTTCTCTGAGGCAAAGAGAGTTAAGTGACATGCTCACATTCACAGAGCTAGAAAGTGTCTGAGGTAAGATTTGAACCCAGATTTTTCTGATTCTAAACCTAACACTTTCCATGATGATGCTATGTTGACTCTGTCTGCCGCAGCTCTCACCTTCTTCCATACTTACACATAATCAATCAATCAACAGACATTTGTTAAGCACCTAGTATGTGCTAGGCACTATGCTAAGTGCTGGAAATAGTCCATGCCCTCATAAGAGACCCAAGTACTATCCAATTCTGCACCCAGAATAACCACATACATATTTAAGCAAAACCAATAGCAATACTGCAGCCTTGCATTTCTAGGGCATGTTTTATGTGCCCCCAACTGGCCCTTTACTAGAGCCCTAAGGAGTGTGGAGGTCAGGCATGGTTTCAGATATGGAAACTGAGATCTATTCAGGGTCATTCAGCTTCTGAGTAGTAAAGCTGAGACTTAAACGCAGCTCTCCTAAGCCCTAAATCAGGGCCTTCCCCATTGGGCCATATTCTTCCCAGCACAGGTAGACAGACCTGTGTGCACATTTGGACACACTCATATAGACATATCCCATAAGTGCATATAATGGACATTTTCGCCAAGGTTGGTCCCTGCAGGTACATGGCCAGGCACAACATGAAACTCCCCATTGCTATATACCCACTGCTCTGACCCAAGCCCAGCCTTCCCCTGCTAGCCCACCTCTCCAGTTGCTGCAGGGAAGTCTTCATGGACTTGACCTGTTGAAAGTGACAGGACATGTCTGTGGCCAGCACCATCTCAATGACCAGGGATCGAAGCTCTCTGTGCAGAAAGACAGACAGGTTTCAGGTCCACATCTCAGGCCCAGCTCCAGCTTAGGGAGGCTGGAGGAGAAGGACAGAGTACAATGGCTGGGAAACTGACCAAGAGGAAAAGGGATAGGTCATCTGACCTTGGTAGAGAGCTCTTTCCCCAACCCCTGAACTCCACAAAGAGAAGTTAGGGTAAGAGTAGGGGTAGAGGATGGAAAAGGGAAAGGGGTCTGAACTAAGCATTTCCAAGAGGGAAGAGGAGTAGGCACCCACACAAACTCATCCTTGGTGAGATTGATAAAGATGTTCATCTCATCATCCTGCATCATTCGGAAGACAGAGCTAATGTGGTGATTCTCCAGCACTGAGCGATCATTGTACAGGATGGCACATTCTGACCTGGGTGCCAAAGGTCATCTGCATCAGCCCCCTGCCCTAGGAGAGAGAGCTCCCAAAGCCCTTACACCTCCCTGGCTCTCCCTCCCTCTCCCACACCCCAGGCCCAGGCCCCTCACTTGGTCTGGATGTGGAAGCTATTAGTGGTGCCTGTGTGCTCATAGTCATGGATGGCAGCAGCAAAAATGATGGCCAGGACCTCAATCTCCGACAGGCAGTGCTAGGGGAGAGAGGGAGGAAATGGGGCAAAGAAGCCAAGTCTTGGGGATACTGGGGAGGTACAGCAGGAGCTGAGAGAGTCCTCCTCCCCAGAAACCCTCAGATTACCTACTACAACGTCCCCACTTCCAGCCCCTGGGGCAAACTCTCAACCACCTTCATTTCCTTCTGCAAGACCAACTTTTATGTTAAGGAAGAACATAGCAGCTAATAACCATTTGCATTTACACTGAGGATCCCAAAAGTCTTAATGCAATTTTGTTTTAGCAACTTAAAACAACACTAAAACTTTTGGAATGCCCTGGGTGAGCTTTAAGATTTGCAAAGTGCTTTACAAATATTATCTCATTCTATCCTCACAATAGTTCTGGGAGGTAGATGCCATTATATCTCCATTTTACACAGAAAGAAATTGAGGTTAAAAGAGTTAAGTGCCTTGCTCAGGAGTCAAACAGTAAGCATCTTGGGCAGAATTTGAACTCAGATCTTCCTGATCTCCAAGTCCAGTACACTATCCATTATATCACCTCCCTGACTCATAGGTTTCAACTCCCCTGGGAAGAGTCCAAGATCCCCTGATGCCCTGTATATCTTCCCATCCCACCTACACCCATACTCCCACAGTCTGAGATAGTTTCCCAGGGACCCCACTAAGCTAAGAAACAAATGAGAAACTTGAAATACACACAAGCAGATCACATTGCTTTCTATGTCTGACTTCCTCTGGGGGCTGGGTATTCTGGGACACCTACCACCATCCCAGTGCGGAGGAGGAAGCAGTGGACTGTTTGAGTGACATCAGCTGCGTGAATCTGGTTGTGGTAAGGATTCTTGTACTTCCCATAACCCACCTCCAGGGCATCCAGGAACGTCATTAAGAACACAGTGGGAAGCTACAGCAGGAAGGATGACAGTTAGACTTAATGAAGAACTGTCCAAGAGACAGGTGGCTGAGGAAAGGAAAGAGGAAGGTCATCTCCTCTCAAGGAGCCTTTAAAAATCAGAGAGACAATTGGGTATGGAAATCAATCTAACCCTATAGGAAAATAGAGGGGGAAGGGGATAAGAGAGGGGGGGATGATAAAAGGGTAGAAAGATTGGGGGAGGGGATGATCAGAAGAAAACACTTTTGAGGAGGGGCAGGGTCAAAGGAGAGAATAGAATAAATGGGAGCAGGATAAGATGAAGGGAAATATAGTTAGTTTTTCACAACATGACTTTTATGGAAATGTTTTGCATGACTACACATGTATAACCTATATCGAGTTGCTTGCCTTCTCAATGAGGGTGGGGGAGGGAGGAAGAGAGAGAATTTGGAACCCAAAGTTTTAAAAACAAATGTTAAAAATTGTTTTTACATGCAACTGAGAAACAAGATACAGGCAATGTGATAAAGGAATCTATCCTGCCCTACAGGAAAATAGAAGGGGAAGGGGATTAGAGAAGGAGGGAGTGATAGAAGGGAGGACAGATTGGGGGATGGGGTATTCAGAATGCACACCATCTTGGCGTGGTGGGAGGGAAGAGATGGGGAGAAAATTTGGAACTCAAAATCTTGTGGAAGTGAATGTTGAAAACTAAAAATAAATACACTAATTTAAAAAAAAAAAAACAGAGAGAGCCTCCTTTCTCCTCCCAACACTCGATTATGGAAGAAGTTCTATCAGGCACAACAGAAGGAAGGGCATCATGACCTTGACAAGGTCTTTTTCACCTATGAGACCTACGGAATTAATCCTCCCCTCATTCATGTTTTCCCTATTCCTCTGCAATATCAGGTGCCTTATTCAGCTGCTCCTAAACCTGTCCTTGTTTCCATTCCTGTGTGATTGTCCCATTATACTGAAAGCTTCCAAAGGAGGGTGTAGATTTCAAAGAGTACATAAACTTAGATAGGAAAATATCTTTATTTTCACTAATTTGGAGGAGTTTGTAATCCTCTGTATTTTTATATGATCTCTGGCATTTTGTTTTATGCATTTAAAATCATTACTAGGAAAAGGCATCCTTAGACTTCACTAGTCGATCAAAGGAGTCTGCCATTCATGATACACACAAAAAAATTTAAGAACCCCTGCTCTAAATGATCCCCATCATCTGAGGAGGGTCTAAAGTAGGGGAGAACTGAGGAGGTGTCAGTCTGAGTTTAGGAAGATTGATTTGGGGGGTTGTGGCTAGGTCGGGGAGGAATAAAGGGAAGATAAAATCCTCAGATCTAGTCCTCCCTCCATTCAGTCTTCCAGACCCCACAGCCAAACCCCTCCAAGCCCTGGAGGGCTGTGCCCCAAATACAGGGAATTCAAAAGAACTGTATCCATGGCAACTACTCAGTGGTTTTTGATGTTGCCATGGTGTCCCTTAGGGTGGGAGGGTAGGGAAGAAGAGAGGGGAGGGCCAGAGACAGTCCAGGTACTCAGGGAGGAAACAAAGATAGGAAAGAAGGTTCAGACCAAGGTTTCTACAATTTGGGGGGAGCCCAAAAGAATAGTACTCAGAGAAAAACCAGAGCAGGAAGGCCCGGAAATCTTAACTCTAGAGATGCAGGGGAGCTAGACAGAGCCCCACAAATACTTTTGTTTTCATCCTGGAGGCTTCAAGCCAGAATGGTCCCGGAAGAGCTGGACATAAAATTTAGCATGGACTTTCTGGTTTTTGAGGACTCGAGGCTGAGAGGGGTTCTACTGAATAATAACTGCCTCACGTTTCTATTGTACATTAGAGTTTGCAAAGTCCTTTCTTCACAACAACCCTGTGGGTTAAGTGATTCAAGTATTATTATCATCCCCATTCTTTAGATGAGGAAATTGAGGCTCTAAGAGGTTCTATGACTTGCCTAAGGTCACGTGACTAGTGAAGGAGAGAATCAGGACTAAAAACCCAACACATCTTATTCCTAGTGCCATACCCCTCCTGACACTCCTCCTTCCTGGAGGGTGGATTTGGAGGAAAGGAACCGGGGATGCAGCAGGATGGGTGAAGTCAGCCTTCATGTGGAATTTTTTGATCTGCAAGGCTGGTCATTGACCACAGAAAACTATGAACTCTCATTCTCTTGTAAAGATAAAGGAATTAGGCTTAAGGGGGAGGGCTTTAACCCCGGACACAGTCTCCCTGGCCCAGCTGCTAGGCAGATGTGGTTAGGGGTCCAAGGAGGAGACACACACACAAACACACACATTCACACGTTCACACTTTCTCTCTCTCTCTCTCTCTCTCTCTCTCTCACACACACACACACACACACACACACACACACCCCACACAAAACTCTATTCCTTTAAAAGCAGAAAGATAAACTCATTGCTTTAACTAACCCCCTTGGAAGGTTTAAGGTTCCTGGGGAGATGTACTCCACCTAACTTCCCTCTCCAATCGACTTCCCACACTGGATGCAAGCACACACGCAACCTCCCTAGCTGCTAACATCAGCCCTCTCAGACTCCAAGTTTACCAAACAATCTCCATAGCAATAGCCCCACCCCTCCGAAGCTCAGGGACAACCTTTCTCCTGCCTCATCCCCCTCCCCCCGACACACACATTTTTCTTGCGCTTCCAAATGACTTTTCCATGAGGATGAAGTTCTTCCTGCCCAGATTCCCAGGAGATGCTCCCTCCACTGGGACCCAAAATAGGAAGGGTTTTAACCCTTGAACATGTCTCCCTGGCCCAGCTGCTAAGCAGTCTTGGCTCCAGCTCTCTCCTCTGCACATTCTCAACTCAGCCTGGGGCCTACTCTTCATGAAAGTTTCTTGGACAGAAACCAGAGCCTGAAAATTACTAGATTTTTTTCCCTTTTTTTCTCAAGAGAGGAGTCTTCTGGACAACATCTGGAGATGGTCTGATGACCCCAGATAGCAATATTTGGCATCTACCTTCAACCAAGTCTAGGGGAAACCTGGAAGAGAAGGCTGGGAGGCTCCTGGGGGAGGTGGGGGGAGGAGGGAAGCTCTAGAGAACAAGGAAGGCAGCCCAAAAAAATCAGCCTAAAGAAAAGAAGGTGAAGGTGAAGGCAAAGCCCTAGACAGGTTCTAAAGGGGGACTCTCAGGAGGAGAGGGGCCCACTGATCTCTATTACCAAGAAAGGCAAAACAATAGACGAGGAGCTGATAAAGCAGTATATGACAAGGATGTTAGTAGTCTGGGGGCCTTTTCCTTGTGGTCCAGGTTGAATGAGGAGGCTGAGAAAATCTCCTACCCTGGGGATCTTTTAAGAATGAGAAAGAGAGACAGAGATAGAAATAGAGAGACAGAGAGAAACAGAGAGACAGAGAGGAGGGAGAGAGGGAGAGAGAGAGAACAGGCAGAGGAGAAAGGAATTGTGGACTGACTTCTGACCTTGAAGCGGCTGATGAGGTTGTGTCGAGTGAGCAGCTCAAAGACAATAGTCCTCAGGGCATGGTCATCGGCCACCCGGTTCAGGGCAAAGACATCGAAGCACCAATGGTCCAGGGTCTGTGTGAAGACCATGGGTTAGGTGGACTAAGAAATGAGGTAATCCAATTTCCATCCCAGGGGATCTCAGAAATAAGAGGGACATTGGGAATGGCTTCCCAATGGACACAGAGGGTAGGGGATGAAGGGAGGGGAAAAAATAAAGCCAAGCATCTCCTTCCCTGGCCATCTCTTAAGACAGAAGAGACATGGAAGCAGGGTTCCATGGAGGGGCACAGCCTCCTTAAGGAAAGGAGGGATGGTGGGAGAGCTAGACAGAGAATGCAGGAAATTGGGGAATTCCTCTAAGAAACAGATTGGTGGACACAAACTTTGATCCCCCCCCTTCCTTCCCCACACTCCAGCTCCCTACCAGCTTCCTAGAACATTACCTTAAGACAGTTGATAACAGCATTGGAGTAGGTGGGGCCCACGGAGGTGTAGGTTCTCCGAAACATCCTAGGGGACGGGGAACAAAAAGTGTGAAGGAGGATACATGAGGATATGGAGACTAGGGAGTGGAGGGCATGAGGGTCTGTAATGGGAAGAAAAGGAGTAGAAGAATCATGATATAAGAGGTTGATGGCTTGGGGAGTGAAAGGTGGCATATGAAAAGAAGGGGTAGAGGGGACATGGGTATAAGGAGTAACGTAAGTAAAGGGAGGTCTGTGAAGTGTGTGTGAAGGTAGGAAAAGAAGGTTGAGAGGGAATATAGACATACATATACATATATACATATAGAAATGCTTTTGTTGTTCAGTCATTTCAGTTGTGTCCAATTCTTCATGACGCCATTTGGGGTTTTCTTGGCAAAGATATTGGAATAGTTTGCTGCTTCCTTCTCCAGCTCATTTTACAGATGAGGAAACTGAGGCAAACAGAGTTGAGTGACTTGTCCACAGTCACCCAGTATCTGAGGCCAGATTTTAATTCAGGAAGATGAGTCTTCCTGATTCCAGGTCTGGTGATCTATCCACTGTACCACCTAGCTGACTACACACACACACATACACCCACCCACACATATACACACACACACACACACACAGAGCCACACAGTCACACAGCCATACAGCTGGGGTTGTAAGGGTATGAGGAAAGTGTCTAAGGATGTAGGAAAGTGAAAAGGCAGGTATGCTGAAGGAATTAGGTTTAGAAAGAGCTAAGAGTCTAGAGAGGACTGAATGGATGGCAAAGAAGCTAGAAAGGGGTATTCAACGTAGGTTGAATAGTCAGTGAGGATAAGAGGAAGAGGAAAGGTGGGAAAGGGTCGTAGGGAGGGGATCTCACCGCTCCACAAATATCCCAGCCTGAACAGCATGGACAATGCTTCGGAATTTTGGCTTCTCCTCCGCTCGTCTGCCCTTGGCTCGAGTCTGTTGGGTGAAGGTGGACGCCAGCCAGTCCCTAACCTCTGAGGGCACTGCATCTGAGCGGAGCTCCTGTAACTCATCTTCAGTGTCCAGGATTTGTCTAAAACCCAGGATAAGGAGGGAAGAATGGACAGAGAAGGATCACCACTACTCCCACCCCTGCCTTGATATCTGCTACCCCCATGGGAATACTAAGAAGCATAAAATAAGGGTTCTTACTCCCGTTTTCTCATCTTGTTTCAGTCTCTATCTCTGTTTCTTTAAGTCTCTAGCTATTTCTTCCTGTTTCCGTGTGTGTGTGTGTGTGTGTGTGTGTGTGTGTGTGTGTGTGTGTGGAGAGAGGGAGAGAGGGGGAGAGAGAGAGAGAGAGAGAGAGAGAGAGAATGTCTGCATTTTCCACCCATTTTGATATATCTCTGTCTGCTTTTCCATCTTTTTGTCTTCCTGGATCCTGTCTCTCCCAAGTTTCTGGTCTCTGCCTTCCTGTATCTCTGGTCTTTATCTCTCCATGATCTCCAGCCCCTCTTCCCTTTGCTCTGCTCTCTGTCTCTGCCTCTCCTCTGTACCTACCTCTGACTCTATTGCTCACCCTCCTTGCTCTCTCCCTAGCCTGCCCTCACCGTGTCTCATCAATGTAGACAGCTTCCAGCAGCGAAGCCGTGTACTCCAAGTTTTTCTTCAGCTCCTCAATGTTCACTTCCCCATTCTCCAGTTGCTTGACCATGTAGCGCAACCTGCAGGGAGGAAGAGAGAAGGAAGAAGGGAGCTCAAACCTTGAGAACTGTCCCACAGTCATCATCGGACCAGGCTTTCCATCAGGGAGCGTTTGGTCCAACCATCCAGCAACTCCAGGCTGAGCATGTGGTTTATCCAGGGCTAAGGTGAAATCCCACACTGACTCCCTCAGGCCTCCAATACACTTCTGGGCCATCTACCCTCATCAACTTTCACTGAAAATATGCCCACAAATTCACACAAATAAGAACCTTTGCAAAATGGAATTACTCATTAACACCTCACATTTATATTGATTTTTCTACATGACAACCCTGTAAGGGAGTCGATGAAAATATTTTCATTCCCATTTTACAGATAAGGAAACTGAGGCTCAGAGAGTTTGAGTGGCTAGGCCAAGGTCACACAGCTAGAAAGAGGCACAGCTGATACTAGAACCCAGGTTTTCATACACACAGTCCAGCACTGTTTTCCTTATAGTATATTCATTGTCTCTCCAATGTAGGCTGAGCAATAAATACCCTGGTTCTAGTCCTGATTTTGACATTTTGTGACCTTGAGCTGGTCACTCCTAAACCTCAGTTTCCTCATTTGTAAAATGAAGGGATTAGATGATCACCAAGGTTGCTTCCAGCTCTGCTCCTGTATCTCTAAACTGAACTGCATCCCCAAAACAAAAAAAAAAAGTTTCTTTGGAATTATATAACAACCACTCATATTTCTACAATACTTTGTGGCTTACAAAATACTTCCCTCACAACCACTCAGGGAAGCAAAGAGTGTGGTATGATAAACTTCATTCTGATCCACTTAGCACAGTACCTGGCACATGGTGCTTAATAAATGTTTATTGACTGACTGATCTTTCAGTGACTTGTCCAGAGTCATACAGCTAGCAAGTGTCAAAACAAATTCTGGATCCTCAAGTCCTCAGATTGCAAGATCAGTCAGCACACTTTCCACCATACCACACTGCCCCATTTGTTGGTTTGGATATTAAAAAACAGGTTAGTCTAAAGGTATTAGAGAGGCAGCCTGATCTAGTGGGAAGACAGGCTGACTTCAGAGTTAGGAGAGATGAGAGATAAATCTGCCTCCTAGCTATATAACCATGGATACTTAGAGCTGTATGTATTAAGAAGAAATCATGTTAACCTTTTAGAGCCTCAGTTTCCTCATCTGTGTAAAAGCAGAGATAATAATACTTGTAACTCTCACCTAAACAGTGTTATTGTGAGGACTAAATGAGATAATTACGTATTTTATAAACTTACTTGAATAAAAAAAATCACTGATTCTGACTCTGCAAAAAGCTCTTTATAAATATCAGTTATCATTATTATTATGATTATGATTATGATTATGATTAATTCTACATTAGTCACTACCACCTATCAATTCTGTAATAAAAGTGTTCTGGGGGTTTCTCCTACACTCAGTAACAGTCCTTCCACCTGGAGAAATGTTCCCAGTGGGGCACAAGGATTTCCACTGAAGCCCTGCTCTAGGCCCCTAGACATTTAGAGCTCAGGCAGAAACACACAGACACACACAGACACAGACACACACACACACACACACACACACACACACACACACACACACACA